GCAGGTGCAGATGCGGCTTCTTCGTTGCGGAGAGCTCGAAATCGTGAAACTTTTTTTGGTCTATATGTGTTCAAAGGAACAGTATCACATCGAACATACCAATATCTTGTCAAAAAAGTCTCGAAAAGGAATTTTAAAACGAATTAAACGATTAGCAACGTGCACTTGGTGGATGTCGCTAAGGCCTCGCTTGTAATGCTCGTCTAGGAACCTTGACAGCTACGACGAGAGAGGAGGGAAAGGAGGAACTCCCCTCTTCCCGAGAATGCCTTTTGTGTGTCGCAGAAGTCGCTATTGTCCCCCTACAAGATCATAGAAGATTAACCCGTCACTCAAAATTCGTACAAAAACAGCCGCTTCGGTGGCTGGAACGACTAGGCCATCCTCTTGACGTCAGCCTCGCCGTAGCTTTGCTCGTCCCGAGACGACCTACGTCAGGATTGCGTTGGATGTCACGTGGTCTCCGCTGGGCCTTCTCCAAGCGCTTGCCAGGGTGGGCCGTTTATAAAGAAAAATACAGCCACCAGGCTCAAAATACAAACGTGCGATTGCCATTTACGGATATCGTGGATCATATTCAACCTCTTTTTGAACACAACGGGAATATTTCAAATTTCGTTGAAGTATCCCTTTAAATCGCCCGCCACCCGATAACAGGCTCAAGCAGAGTAATTGCAAGTAGCTAGGCTAGGTGGCGCTAGGTACCGGCCCATTCGTGTGCTACAAAAATATATTTATTTGCTCGCGCCACCACTGCGCTTGTGCACCTTTATTATACACGTTTGCAAGTCCGGCTTCAGGGCGCTGCCATCTTGCCTGTCTGGGGTGCGCTTGGACCAGTCATAATCCGATTACGAAGCCTTGCTAAGGCGTCGTAATCGGATTATGGCCGCTCCCGAGAGCGCACCCCACTGAGGAAGATGGCGGCGCCCTGAGACCGGACTTGCAAACGTGTATAGACACATGCCGATACAATACGCGTACCACAAGCATCAGCTGCACACACAATTGACTACTTCCGAGCTCTGCGTTTCCGCCTTTTATACTCGTCGTTTTGAAGGTACGGATGTGCTCGGTGAGCACCTAAGCAATAAATAATAATGATAATATTTTTATTACTTGAAAAGAAAAAAAAAAGATACAGAATCAGGCCTGCCAAAGCCACATCGGGCTTGTCTGGCAGCGCCCGGCAGTCAGTGAGACGAAACCGCACATATATACACGTTTGCAAGTCCGGTCTCGGGGCGCCGCCATCTTACTCACTGGGGTGCGCTCTTGATCGCGACCATAATCCGATTAGGACGCTTTAGCAAGGCTTCGTAATCGAATTATGACTCGCCCAAGCGCACCTTAGCCAAGCAAGATGGCAGCGCCCCGAAGCCGAACTTGCAATCGTGTATATACCGACACTCTGTTTACCAAGGAGCCCGCGTTTGCCCACACCAGGTGTGGGCGCTGCGCGTTCGCATAAACAGTATTTGCGTGAAGTGAAGCGTCTGGGCATGCGCAGTGCCGTCGACAGCGCCACCGCAGCTGCATGACGTCAGGGCCGCGTGTTGGTCTCGCGAGCCGCATGCGGCTCTTCGCGTGTTAAAGTGCGGCTCTCGGCTCGCTCCCCTAACCCCCCCCCCCCCCCCCCCACACACACACACACATACTTGCCCGAAAAGAAAAATGGAACGAGTTTTAAATCGAAAAACAGGTAGCGGTTAGGTTGTCTTCTGCTACTGCTACCTTACGTACAGTTGGACTGCTGTTGACTCGGATAGATTGAAAGTGGTTCGAGTTTCGTTTATTGCTCTAGAAAAATGTTGCCGCCCCCCCCCCCCCCCCGCGCCTCTTGCAAGTTTCGTGGTTTTGTTAGCGGCTCTTAGACCGGGTCAGCCTGGCCACCCCTGGTCTATAGCCAACAAAAAATGAAACACAATCAAAACATACCAATCATTAAACAAAATTAAAAACTAATACATCTCAAGGCTTTTTTAAGCTTGTATTTTGTTTTTATATTATGAATTTCAGAAGGAAGTTTGTTGAAGATTTCTGGCACGTAATACTTACGAATTCGTTTTCCAAATTTTGTTGAGCATCGAGGTATATAATAAGGGTATTTGGGTCTAAGATAACGTGACGGAAAGTACGGGGTTTTAAATTGGCTAGCCCAATAGTGCCTGTGAACAACAGTTTCAAAAGCGGGCTAAAGTTAGGAAAACCCAATATTTTAAATACATCGACATCCTTCTCTAGACACAAGTCATGTGAAAAAATTTTTTTTTAACAAAGAACGTAAAAGGCAGTTAATTCTATCTTGCCAGCGAAGAGCACGATGACCGTAAACAGTGATACCATATCGAAGCACACTATATGCAAGAGCATGAACAACAACTTTTCGTACCGAAAGAGGCATGAAATACCGGATATTACTCATACTGCACGAAGTTTTTTACAAACATGCAAAAGATGAGAATTCCACGCAAGGTCACTGTCAAAAAACACACCAAGGTATTTCACAGAAGATGTATATATTCTATGGGTACACAATCACAAGGGAAACCATATGCCGTATGCAGCAACAAAGAATAAGTTAGAGAAACTTTTTTTTGTAAAGGGCTGTGGAAACAAATAAGTTGAGTTTTAGAAGCATTAATTAAAATGAAATGAGCTGCAAACCAGTCCATAGCTTTAATAGCCGCAGATTGTAAAGCCGAGATAGCTTCTAAATAGTTGAATGATCTGGCTAACAAGAGAGTGTCATCGGCATACTGAAATAAAGAAATTGGTACAACTTTATATAAACTTCATAATATTTCCAGCATGTTGATTTTTTTTTTTCTTTTCAGTAATGTCATGTCTTTGGAAGCATTTTTAAAGGGGCACTGACACCCCAAAGATCGTTTTTTTTTATTGTCTATAACGATGCAAGTTACAGTCATAGACAGACGCACACACAAAAAAAAACGCATCGCGAAAAAAAAAATATCCCGCGCGCGCGCGCCTTTTTATTTTTGTCGTTTGATTCTCCCGCCTCTCACTTCTTTTGATTCGTGACGTCAAGAGTCATGAAATTTAGAAACTTTGTAGGCGACATTTCTATAACATTTAATAACGGCAATCGTAAAACATATTTTTTTTAACGCAATTGCGATCGCACTACTCCCCTTCTTTTTGAAATACGAAAAACGAAGTCCGTTGTGGTGCCGTCTCCTGGATTTGTATCCTCCCACGTAAAACAGGCGACACCGCTCAAAACCGGTCCGGCGGCGCTCGCTCCTTTCCTCCTCGCTTTGGGTCACCATGGCAAGAGCAGGGAGTCGTGAAAGAAAGTGGACTGTCAGGACTCCGCAATATTTGACGTCAACGCACCGGCGCGGTGCGTTGACGTAGTCAGGGGGGGGGGGGGACGTCAACGCCCCCCCCCCCCCCCCCTGGCTACGTGCCTGTGAAGTGCTATTCGTAGCAGGACATTTGACCTAGGTTTGAAACCGCACGTGGCACGGGTAGTCGCGCCAACAAACACCCGAATGGTGGTGTGCTGTTACAAAAGCTGGATGATGAAAATATAATATCCAGCGCTTTTTCCGACTACAACATCTACCCCGGTGAATAGGGTGCATTTTTTTTTTATTATTATGATTCGAACAAAATAAAACGAAGAAAGGAATGCCTCACCAAATACAAAATTAGAAAGCGAAATTCACGAACCTCTCGAGTGTGTAGTCAACACTTCGGTGAATACGACTTCGTGTATTCCGTTGGTTTCAATGTGTTCTGTGAGTACTGGTCCCTTATTGGTTCCGAGTTGATTCCTTTTTGAAGTTTGAAAAGCAGTAAACGAACATTTCCTCAAAATAACTGGCAGGAAGAAGCGGTGGCTGGCTTCCGAAGTCGCTTCAACTAAATCCCCGCTAATTTACCCGGTGGACGCGAAACGTGCGAGACCCCCTCGCGATCCAAGTCTTTAATAAGTCGGTGACATTTCAGCGTCCCAAAAAAATGAGGAATACACCTGCTACGTATTACTACCGTTTGTATGTTTTTGCGGACCCAAATGAGCATAATGCGTGATGCGCTTCTCAGCGAGCGATTTTAAATTTGTAAAAAATTCTTGGAAAAAATAGGATAGAACAAATTAATCAATCGCCTGAATTTGCCGGGCCATGGCCAACAATTTATGAAAATTTCTAATTTTCTTTCGAGCAGAAGTCGCGATGTGACAAACTTCCTCACCATGTATTCGATTCGGGAGGAGCTAAGCGTCAGTGCAGACGATCATTTGCTCGGCAGCAACTGTCGAGTCACACTTGGATAGAAACGTCGGTATCGGCAAAGTCAATGTAGCTAAAACAAGTGTGCGGCACTTTTCAACGCAACTGTGCGCGCGTGCACAACTAAGACGACAGCATGTCATTTACGCTGGTGAATGCAAAGCCTTTTTCTACAACAACCCTCATCAGATTTGAAAAAAAAAAAAAAAAGAATCAGGGAGGTTGTGAATAGCCCTGACGCACGCCGCGCAAACTGTAATGCGAAGCTCGAGGCTTCTTTTGGAACATTTTGAAGTTTTTCTAATGTAAAAAGTAACTTTGAGGCGCTATTATTAATTAGAAAGATCACTCACAAAAACGTGATACATGTTTCTTTAATAAATAAACAGCTTTTAATCGGTGCAGATTCGAACAAACATAGCCACTCCGTGCTTTCACACAGCGCGTCGTCTGCTCGCATCCTACCAGGTGCGTCAGTAGACGCCACCAAGGCATAAATGCCTAACCCCCCCCCCCCCCCCCCCCCCCCCCCGGGTTAGGCATTTATGCCTTTTGCCATGCCCCCTGAGACATCTCTGTACAGTTATGTCTTAAATAAAGGTATAAACAACAAGTTGTTGTAGATCGTTTCCACTGCCCCGCAACCCGCTACGAGATCCGGGACTTTCCAGGCAAGGCTAGCGCCGTGTATGCGCAGTAGTGACGTCTTCTTTCCGGAGAGCGCAGCGGAGGTGGAAAAACGGTCTACAAAAACTCCCCAATTTGTTTTTACTGAGGTAGGCTCTCCTAGCTCCCCGAGAAGGGAGAAAAAAAAGTGCGAGAGAAGAGTAAAAAGCGGGCATCTGTTCACGTAGTGACACAAAGGCGACGAGGAGAGGAAAAAAGAGAGAGCGAGCAACCCAAGTGTCAACGAACGGCGCCCGTTTCGCCCGAGCACCAGCACAGGCAACGGGGAGCGTAGTCCGCCGGCTAGCACGACCTGCTACCATTTTACGGCCAACGGTGCACAACGCGCAGCAGCACGGGCAGCACGCACAGCACCTAGCGGAGGGAAGCCAAGGTGGCCCGCCCCAGCCCAAGCGAGCCTGCCCGGCTGCGGGGGACGATGCACTGCGAATGCGCGCTGTTTTGCGGCGGCTGTTGTTGGCTCGGCCGCCCTCTCCGCGGCAGGAAAGGGAAATTCCCGGGACAACGCGTCCTTTCTGCTTTGACGTGAGCTGGCGCAACGCTACAGTAGTGCGCCGCGTGCTGTCTGGAGCAAGTGAAGGCAAGTCGGCAAGTTCGCCTCCTTCCCCGCGTCGTCCTCGCCCCGTGACCTTGGGACCGAAAGAAGGAGCCGCCGCGGCGGAGTGGCACGTGGGCGCGCACTACTTTCTCTCGCCCAACCAAGCAACAACATCCCGGGGCAGTTGGAGAGAAGGGTTGCGTGCCGTGTTGTGCCTTTGGTTGTGCGGGCGCTTCCGCGCTTCTCATCGTCTGCTCCGGGTGGGAGAGGGCGGAGAGCAGACGACCAACCGACCGACCTCCGCCACCCCTCCGCCGCTTTGTCGTCGTCTGCTACCCCGAGGTTCCGACACCGGCAGGGCCGGCAGGCGCGCTGCTCCACTTGATCGCGACTGCTTGGCTGGCTCGGAAGGCTGCGATGCTGGCGGCGCTCGCCGTCGTGCCTCACCGGTGAACCGACAGGCGACGGTTGTTGGCGAGCTGCTGAGACTGCCTTTTGGATGCCACAGTTGTCCCTTGGACGGCTCCGGGACAACGAGGTGAGTAGAAGCAATCGAAAGGCGCGGCCGAGCAAACATGTCGTGGATTTCGCCCAGATGTGTCCATCTGGCTTCGAAACCACTTGGCATCGTTTCAAAAACGCGTTTGCTCTGACGTCAGTTTCCCGACCTAAAATAACGTGGCTCGGAAAGGGATCCGTCGGAAAGCGCAGTCCGTGGCTTTGTGTCCCACCGTCATGGAATCCGGCCTCTGAATTGGCGAATCAAAGCGACGCGCGCATCTCCCGGTGCCGCCTTTGGTCGCCCTTTTGTACACAGCCAGTCGTCTGCTGTGGTCGTCGGCGCTTGGTCCGCTGCCTCGCATGCCTTCCTGGACCGGGATGAGCACGAAACCGAAGCTTTGCTTTTTCGGACGTCGTGCGCGTCTTTCCCTTCTTGCCGCACACATCGTCTTCGCGTGACCTTGCGCCGAGCAACGGGACGCCAGCTGGGCATTGTTTTGCGACGCACAGAGCGGCCGGTGCCTGCCGTGCTTGCCGTCGGGGAGGTCCGTTGCCGTGCTTGGACCTCGCATAACTCGACACTTGCGCTGTCGGTGAGCTCGGAAAGCTCCAGACTACAAGTTTTGCGTGGGAGAGACCCGCGCGAGTCGAAACGAAGCGTTACGGAGAGGAACGCAAACTTGGCAAACTCCTCAGGACCGATGTATCGCAGCGCCGAGGGAGCCTGTTGTCGTCTGCTGCTACGTCAACTAAAGAAGAATCCCCGCTAAAGTACCACCGATTTGTGCGGTGACATGAAACAGTTTTAAGAGTACCATTTGATTATAGTAGATTCACCTCCATCTGGAAAGTTAATTTATTCCTGCATAAAACTTGTACACCATGGGTACTAATTAAACCCTTCCTGCATCAGCGACACTTTCAATTGGCTTGCAAAGTTGTCTTGGGAATTGTCGTGATGTTCATCTCAGCTGTAGCATTGTAGCTGTAGGTTCCGAGTGCTCAAAAGCGATTTCGCTCTCGAGCTGAACAATATTGATACATGTCTGAAAGGACACCTGTGGTCCCCCTGCAATGATGCATTCCCCCGTGTTCTGGTAAGTTTGAGCTCTACATGCGATACAATAAAACAAACGAGAAAGCATGTTTGCACTGCAGTGCAGCTACATTTGAATGCTAAGTAAATGTAGACTATATAAAGTCGCGAAAAAAAAAAGTTGTCTGTTTATTGTTTTTTGAAGTATGTCCGAGCATATGGTGGGGATGCCGTTGTCTCGGCAACAAGTTGTGCTGATACGTGGCAGAGTTATTATAATGTACGCTAGAGGCTCAACTGGCACTAGTGTGCTGCGGCAAATTCAAGCAGACAGCAACCAGTCGAAAACCGACTTTCGGTAATGCCTTTCTATGGGAAAAAGTTAGTGCATTTTTTCCCTGCGCTCAATTATAAGAGCAAATATCCCGAACACCAATCTCTATTATAGGGGGCCGGGTGGCGCATAGCCGCTCTCAGAGCAGGGTGCAAGATAAGCCACCGGAGTTTGATGCTTGTCCCGGAAGTGTGGCGTCTGCTAGGCTTCCTAGTGCATTTAGTCGATGTTTTGGTCCATACTTTCCTTTGAGTGGGTTTTAATAATCATGCTCCGAATTAAATCCCGAAAATGAGGCATTTGAACTTAGGACATATGCACACTTGATCAACTAGAATCTCAAAATGTTTACATTGAATGGCTTCCCATGATACTTCTGGGGTCTGCATGCGCTCTTGCTGCGCAACAAGCAGGCTCTCTTAAAGTGACAAGCGAAAATCCAGCACGCTCGACACTTTTCGATCCAGCACTCGGAAAGGGTTACCAAGTCTGCCAAGTGCTCACTTCCGGGACAAGCCGCTTACTTACGGTGGCTTCATACCTGGTTGCTGAATGCGCCGTCCAGCCCCCTATAATAGAGATCGGTGATCCTGAATAATTCATACGTATTAGGTAGCTTGGAACATTTCTCAGTCAGGCAGACAAAATAATTGGTCAGTTAGGACGTTTTCTTTTCAAATTAATTGCATTAAAACTGTGCTAAAACGACTTCATATACCTGTATTTATGTGCACTGTCGGACAACTGTTAGTGCGAACACGGCATCGGCGCTTTTCAGTATGGGGGATATACGTGCCAAACGGACAAAAGACAAGGAAGACGGCAAGAACTACGCAGTAACACTGGGTCAGTAACTCCCTGTGCTTGTACGATCAAAATAAATTGAAGGCCACGTAATATAATCAGGTTTTCAATAAGTACTACTTTCTGCTCTGCGCGAATGTGGTTGTTCTATGTTTAAAACGTCACCCACACGTTCGAAATCGTTGAGAATGAGTGCCCGATAAAGTCTGCTTTGCAGAGAAAATAACAAAGAGACATTTCAGAGCCCACATGCTTTATTCTTTACGTTTTGAATGTTTTTAACCGCTCGTAAAGATGCAAGACGGGGTCATTTTCATATAGTGACAAGACCGGCATATGAGCAACATATAAGCATGACCGGAATACTGACGAGCCTTGACCACACTCTACCGGCAGTTTGTGCCCGCCGCAAATATATATATTTTTTTTTCAATCGTTATTTTGCTTAGAATCGTCGCTTGTTTTTACACCTGTTGTGGAACAGAGGTTTGGGCCTGAAATATAGCGCAGTTAAATGTTGTTCACTAATGAAGAAAAATGTGCTTACTAAAGCAATTGCACTTTTACAATGTTAATAAAGGTACATACTATTCGTTACGACCCCAATAATAAGAGTGTTCCACGTTATTTTCCGGCGAAGATACAAAATGCATGCGCGTTTTCCCATATGAATGCACAGGAGCACCGCAAAATGGTTGCCGTCTGCTTCAGTTTGCTTCCCGGAAGTCACATAGGCACTAGTTGAACCTCTAGAGTATGTTATAATAACTCTATGGTCTAAAGCTGTCATGCGTGCAGCCTTGTGGCCTAGTTGTGCTGCAAACAGGGCTCCCAAGCACCATAGAAGGCAATGAGCATGTACTCCATTCTTAGCCTAGGTTGTGTGTAGCCCTGTGGGAGGCTTAAGAAGCTGCTTTCTTCCTTGTGCAATCTTGCACAGGGCTCTCTGGCTTTCATCCCACGTCACACAACTTGTCCGATGTAGTACACACAAGCGCAAGCTTGTCTACAGGCGCAGCAATCAACAAGCTGGCAATTGCATGTGCTTAGGGGGTACTTTTGTCTCCAGATTGGTTCAACACTCCGGTATAGCTCAAATTTCATTTTAAAATGATCTTTCTGCAGTGACTGAATTTTCAATTTTGGACCTCATCGTTTTTTTTTTTGTTTTTTTTTTTTTTCAACTGAAAGTCTCTGCTGGCAACTCTGCAAATGGGGTGCCACCGGCAGACACAGCTTCACTGTTTAGCTGTTAGAACTTGTTCCCAAGTGATTGCAACACATTTAATAATGCGAAATTTAATGCTCTGGGAGCTCATTTGAGTACTTGCCTGGAAGCACAAAATATGTCATGCCACTGGAAAGTTTGGATGTCGGTTTCGGCATCGCCTGCATTTGCCGTCTTCTTAGTAGCTCTTCTGCATTTAGAGATACTAAATGGCGGGAAGAGTAATGCCCAGGTATTGAGAGTTTGGGTAGCTGAAAAACTTGGTGGAGTAGGCCATGGCAGCAGCCGTAACGCTTTGTGGGATGTAGACATGGACCGAGATGCTCTAAAAGCCGTTTAAGTGGAGCTTGAGAGTGTGCTTGCAGCATTGACGGTGGAGCTTGGACATTGCAGAAGTCAAGCTTTTGTCCCTCACAACTGCTCTTATTTTGCTAGCGGCATAACTACTACTCAATGTAGAAGCTCTCCGAACGGTTCTAGAGGCAAGGCCGACCCTACAAAAACTTCTCCTAAGGCGTCGGTCGGCTCGGGTTCTGGGACGGAGGCTTCTTACAAGAACTGGTTTGGTGGGTGAAAAAGAACCAGCACGAGGTGGGAAGCGTCCAAGTTTTGCTTGTGTCAAGTCATTGGTAAATTGTTTGCTTCGATGGAACTGTGACAAAGCCAACACGGAGCAGTGTTCACGTGATGTTGGACAGCACTGTCAGTGGCATTCCCCAACACTGCGCAAAGACGTTGGGCCACGGGACGCACAGTCCCGCGTCTTTCTTTTAGTCGAGCGCTTGGATTCGGCACATTTTAACATTGGGCTGTTTGCACTCCAGTTATCCTTGATTTGCACACATTTATGGCTGGCTGGAGGCACCCCCCTCCAGAAATATTTGGAGCCATGCATTCTGTATCTACAGTAGTGTAAAAAAAGATAAGAGTAGAAATAACTGAGAATCAGTTCATAGACCTGATGATAGTGGTAGACAAATGTAAGGCACCTTGGTATCAAATGCATACTTTTCCCAGGTACTTGTTGGTATGAAGGGGAACAGCTAATCCGCTGAAAAGCGGTCACCTCGCTATTGTTAGTTTCTTAAAGGTTTCCCCAAAGTACTCCCCCATAACACTGCATACACCCTGCTCTTTGCTTTTGGAGGACAAGTAGGTTGAGAAAGAAACGGCACTCTTGTACAAAGTTGTCAATAATAATGCCCCCCCCCCCCCCCTTTTCACTTGTCCACATTGCCCGAAATTGCTCTGCAGTGCACGACTGGTATGGTAGAGCATGCTTAACAGCAACTGAAAGGAGGCTGATGGATCTTCTCATTGATGCCCTGGTCCATGTACCCAGCAATACCAGTGTTATCTGTGCACGATACATTTTGTTTGGCATTTCATAAATATTTTTTTCAATCGAGCTGCTTTGATTGATACAAACATCTCAAGTACGATGCCGGAGGCCACTCACAAATGCAGCAGAACTCCAAAGTAGATATTGTGGCCGGTGCAAAATCAATAAATGCACAAATTTGTATTATTTTTTACCATAGTAGCGCCATCTCTGTTGATCCATCCTTTCTGAAATTAAACTGTCAACCGCTGTGCATTTTCTTCCAAATACCTTCATTTCAAATACCCTGCAAT